ATTATATACCGGACGATCCCGAATCAGGTATATCGCACCTTTATGCTATGTGTTACGCTATTTGCATCCATATTCCGGATTCGCTATCAACCCGAGATGTGCTTTGATATTTTAGCTATGATTCATTGTACTGTATCAGGCCAAAAACCGGACTTCCCCATTGTTCCATATATTTATCCATATTTGCTCTATCACTGGGTATATCTGCGGAAATTGATATTCAAATATGGTAATGCATTTGTTTCTATTTGATATTCCCTGACATTACCGTTGTAGGGGATCGTCTGTGGCTCAGCTCCCATATGGGGAGTATATGACTGTATATGGTGGTTGTGTGGAATTCACAATATTGTATTGACATATGGGACTGAATGCCACCGCGTGTCATATTATCGGTTGCTCGATGTGCTTGTCACGCGTCCGGTAGGTACGATCACGCACGTGGGGTGACGTCACGCGCCTGCCCTGTTGGTCTTGCGAGCGGACGCAGATGTTGCAAGTTGCCCTTGCCCTTGCCCATGAGCTGAACGACGCTGACGACCTGTAGCGGGCTGCTTGAACTGGGAGAAACAGAATTGGACAAGAGCCGCCGCCCTCATGTGTCGGAGTCGGAGTATATTCAGCGCTCTGTATATCCCTACCTTTCGAGCCAGACCCTTGTGTGCGACCAACCAGTTTGCTACTCTCCGATTCCGGTGCCAGGTATACGAGCTCCAGCGCAGGAGGTACGCTGCTACCCCGCAAGACGTCGAGAACACGAACGTGAGCCACGCAAAGTTCATCGCCGAGGCGTCGTCTTCGTCGAAATGGAAGGAAGGCCAGGAGAAGGGGAGTAAGGGCAAGGGTGGGATGCAGCCCACAGGCGAGGACTTTGACACGCTCGCGGAAGGAAAAGGTCCGTCAGCCTTCTTTTACCCGTCCATGCGATGAATACAAACGCATCAGGGTCCAGGCAAGCTTTCCCCGACGTCCTCGCACCTCTTCAAGCTCATTCTCCCCCTCGGCTCGCTCAACGTCCTCGCCAACACCACCCACGCCACGCCTCCGCCGCCGACCGTCTTCCTCCTGCACCCCTCCCAGCCTTTATCCCACGCGGGCAGGCTAATAGCCGCCTCCCTCGCGCCTGCGTCTCCAGACATCGCGTTCCGCAGCAGGAACAGCACGAGGGGCCAGATGTTCCAGTGGAGCGACGCGACGGACGTGGGCGATTTTATCAGGGACGCGGCGCGCCAGGCGGAGTTCGAGATCTGTATCACCGTGCCTAAGAGCGGGGAAGGTGAGGCGGAGGAGACGGTCATCAAGGTGGAAGTGCCCACCTTTGCAGACCGCACGCGCTTCCTCCGGCGCCGGCTCGACGCGATCACGCGCGAGCTCGAGCGCATGGAGGGGCTGAAGCGGGAGTGCGATCGCGAGGCGCACCGCGGGGCGCGCAGGGTTGCGCTGGGCGGATTCGCGATGCTCGTGGTGTATTGGGGTGCCGTGGCGCGGTTGACGTTTTGGGATTATGGGTGGTGAGTGACTTATTATCGGTTAAGGGGGGCATGGGGGCGGGGCATGGGGGCTGGGATGGGATGCTGATGGGCGTTGAAAGGGATATCATGGAGCCGATCACGTATCTCAGCGGGCTGTCGACGGTTATACTCGGGTATCTGTGGTACGTGCCCCGTCTCCTGTCTCCTCCGAGAACAGCATCTTACCGCGCCTGCACATGCCTTAGGTTCCTCTTCCAAGGCCGCGAAGTCTCGTACTCGTCCGTGCTCCACCAGTCCATCTCCGCGCGGCGCGATGCCCTCTACAAGGCGCGCGGGTTCGATATCGACCGGTGGGTCGACCTCACGAACGAGGCGCGCGCCATCAAACGCGAGATTGGCAAGATCGCGGAGGATTATGAGGATAGGAGAAACGGGAATGGTGGAGGAGCTGAGGGGCAGGGGGAGGGGGAGGGGGAGACGGAGGAAGAGAAGGGGGAGAGGGAGAAGGAGAGGGTGGATAAGGTGGATCGGTTTGAGGAGGGGCCGGTCATGGGGGATGGGGAGGATGTGGGAGGAAAGGAGGGAAGGAGGACGTAGGGTGGGGGTTGGGATATCGTGATATTTTATTACACGACATAAGTTTGGGATTACCTTGCATACACCGAGAGGACCATTAGAGACAGATACGTATAGCATACATACACGGATTACACAGCTTGTAGCCTATCGAATATAATAGCGAAGATGATATATTATCTACTGAAAGTGAAGGGAAGTATAATTATGGGCGGAGCATGTAGCTGAAGATTCTACAGACTCCGGAGGAGATTCGGGACTGCGTTGGTTTTATCCCATGTAATCCGACCCCCCTGCCCAGCAAAAGTAAGGTACTGTCCCTTGTACTTGTACTTACCCATAGAAAACGCTAGTGACCTCTACTCACGACGCCTTCAAGTCCATAACTCTACTGACCCTGAACGTCCAACATCATATGCCGGAGTGGCATTTGTTCTCAATCGGGCAGTTACGAATACATCAGATGCCAGTTACTGTGACCTGACTCATACCGGGACGTGCGATCCTCCTTTCCCTGACGTGGCATGGCACAGAACGCGTGTCCATAGTCAATATCGCCATGCGCCCAATGGATATAATGAGCAACGTACCTTCTGGGAGAAACTAGACTCCATCTAGGAGGCGGATCTCCTCCCTCGCCCGCACTTTATGCTGGGTGACTTCAACCTGGTTGCAGGACCCAATTGACCGTTCTCCACCGCGCGCGAGACCCCGATGGCGCGATGGCAACCCTCCTCGCAACTTTCGTATAGTACTCAGACTCGCAGACGCACGCAAGGCGTTATACCTGCTGCTGCTGCATCAGCCGCTTCTCCCGTATTGACCGGATATACTCAAACGCGCAGCACGTACCCCGTCTATGCGGCTGACAAATGGGCGCCTCGATTGTGCCCACTGACCATAACCTGGTATCCATCGGTTATGCCCCCGCAACTGCCCGAAAGCGGCGAAACGGACGCTCACTAAGCTAACCAACCCTATTCGAGCCCTACAGAAGGAGCTTGAGCAAACTCCGAACAATCCAGACATGGACACATCAGAAGACACACGCACCAATGCCGCGATCCTCTGGAGTGAAGTGCTTTTGCTAAAGCGCAAACCCATGGTCAAGCGAGGCGGGCGGTGCATGGGGAAGCCCCGACTGTTACCTATCCAGGGTCACAGCTCTGAGAAAGCCTCGGGATGTTATCCTGCGCCTTGCGATCCCTGGGTTCACACAAAGGCATATCCGACGACATGGCGGAACTTACGCGCGACTACAATGAACAGCTCCCGGAGGAGGACCATCATAGCACTTGTCCAGGAGAAGGCGCACGAGAAGATCGAACATGATTACCTTTGGGAGAGATTCAATCTGCCACAGATTCTCATCCACATAGTACGAGCCCTCTATGCATCTGCACACACCCGTGTAATGATCAATAGGGTGCTGAGCTCCCACGTGCGAGTCACGAGAGGGGTGGGCCAGAGCGATTCGCTGTCCTGCCTGCTGTTTGACCTAGCCAGGCACGTGCGATCAGGAGCTCCACGCCAGCCAGGCTCCTGTATCCCGGGTCTGCTGGATGAAAAAAATCAAAGGAACACTATTCGCTAATAATACCACTGTCTACTTACCCCAGGCTGCCCGCCTCCATGATCCCCCCGACTTGCTCTCCCAGTGGGTACGTCGCGTCCACCCCGACGGCGAACCGCCCCCCATACCATACACACTGTTGATGATGGTTACGCCATCCGGCCTCGCGGGGTGTGGATCGGGAACCGCACAGAAGATGCTGCCCCACGGGAAGCTATACTGGCAGGTGGTTGAGTCTGCTGGACACTTTGACCAGTATCAGTTACTGGAGAAAGTCTCCAGCAGACTCAACAACCTAGCAAAGGGACATCCAACCCTGTTCAGCAAGGTACATATGATGCTGCAAACCATATGGGGCATGACACCAGGCCCACGGTCCCTGGTCGAACCTCGAGTTCGGAGCCTTGATCGCGCCGGGCAAGGTAGCAGTCTACAAAAATGTGACAACAAGGACGCCTACTAGCCCGACCCTTCCCATCCGCTCGTCGGCGTCTCGCGCCTACTCCAAATATTGGTCTCGGAATGCACGTACCTGATCTGGGTGCTGCACTGCGAACGCGTCACTCCGGAACAGCGACACACAGTGCAGTGCATCGTCCGTCGGTAGACAGCCGCGGTTAACCGCCGCTTGAGCGCAGGTCGTGTTATAGCTACCAAGTTCGATCGTTCTCACAAGACTGAGCGACGTGTTCTTATAGCAGTTTGCAGAAACTTCCAGAAGGTCTCAGCGGGACCAAGACCGTAGTGTTGCTCCTGCAGTGAAGTTGCAGTGTCGCACAGTGGAGTTTTTGACACTTCAACCCGAATGAAGTGAAGTTGCAGGCGCTTCAAAGTCTTCATTGAAGTCGGAAGACCAGCCGCGGAATATCCCGTACCATTCCCACGTACGTGTGGCGGAGTGACTGACTGGTCCTCATAAGACGAACTCGGGGGACATTTATGTATACAGAGTACTAAAAAATGCACTAATAATGCCCATACCATCTGCCCGCGAATACATTTCCAAAAATTGAGTCGACACCTTGTCATATGGACTCCTGACGAATTCTTTGAGCCTAGTGCAAACTGCCAGTATGCTATGGAGGTTATCTGCCACGGCCATTCTATTATTGTCTCTGCACGGGGTATGACGCGGAGTAGATACGACTCTATGCGACTCTGACACCACTTGGACGGGGGGCGAGTACGTCTGGTGGCGCGCGCCAAGCGCGCGCTGCCATTCACGGTCAGCACGTGGTCATGATCAGACTTCAATGCAGTCTGCAAAGCCAATTCATGACGACTGTGCAGTGGGTGAAGTACATGAAACTTGAAGTGAAGTGAGACAGTCTGCAAAGTG